ATGTTGGCTTTTTATGAACTTTTATACAAGTGTCTGTATAAAATCGACAAGAGGTTTCTGATAGTTTACATGCATAAAATTATGAAATAGAAGTTAGTTTTTAAGATCTACCGTTAGCTCAGTTGGTGGAGCGAAGGACTGTAGTTATTACCAAATCAGTATTCCTTCACCGATTCGAGCCCGGTACGGTAGAAAATTTTGTTTGCCTTACAACCATATAGCACGTTGTGAGTCCCAATCCCTTTCTTATTTTCAACACGCATTCGAAATTCGTTTTAAATCTTTTAACGAATTTGATGGCTCTTAAAGGAGCCGTATCTTTGCTCGGAAGAGATAAATTTCCACAGGTATACTGAAGGATTTTTCGTATGTTTACAAAATGATAGCGAGGAATCTATTGGTCACAAAATTCGAGACATATTTTAAACAGAACTAAGCAGTTGCTAAGTTAACATGGTTGTCAACGTCGTTGTTATGGTCAATATTTGTATGTTGTTCAACATTATTTAGCAAATCATAAGAAAGCTTATCAAGAATACTTGAAGGAAAAAACGTTTAGAACAGTTGTAATATATTTTACCATAAAAAATAAATATGTCTTTATCAAATATGCGGTCGTTATGTACGTTGCTATGTGTTGCCAGTCATTAGCGACGATTGGGTGCATGCATATATTAAAGTACAACATATTTGTACACTAATCAGGCGGGCTGATTAGACAAATCACGCGGGGGGGGGGGAAGAGCGGGCTTTGCAGGTAAATGTTTGAACAAGATTTCAGTTTAAAATACATTTATTTCTTCAAAACGTTTTATAAAGTTTCGCTTCTAATATATATGGTCACTTGTTTGAGAAGTTTCGTTATCAGATTCATCGTCGTGGCTGCTTTCATCTTCCGTAATCCATTTGGTATGTCTTGGGACTGCTACATGAGAACACAGTTTTAACCTCTTTGTAGTTGATAAATTACTGCGCCGGCCTTGCCTTCTCCTGCTTCGGCGCCCTGCTTGGTGTAGTACGGCTTTTGTTCCTTGTTCGGCAAAGTCTTTAACAACGTCACGTCCGTGAGTCTTTACAGACTCTCTAACATTTTTCCTTTGGAGTACATCTTGACCAATTTCTGTGGCTGCTTGTAATGCTCTTTCGCCAACAACTTTAGCACCTCGTTTGAATAGAGGGATAGCATATCTCGCAAGGCTCTTGAAAATACCTCCGATCACATAACCTCTTTGAAAACGTGCACCGCGATACCCAGTGATATTCCCACCACGTTGTTGTCTCATGAAATGGTCTCTCAGTAGCTTTCGTCTACAACAAGTGTACCTCTCGGCATGCTGATGTGTTCAGTTCAACTTCACGCAGTCAACTGATCAAATATCACTTTGGTCGCCTATGTTATGGTTAAAAGACTGCCTTTTATCCGTTCTGATATATAGAATTTCACCTTGGCGACAATGTGGACAGCTGGCGATTACATGCGTGAAATCTCGTTTGGACACTTGAAAATCCCAGATCATACAGCGACAGCTTTTACAATTCGGAAAAAAATCTGTCCATGTGCATTCGGAGCACGTACTCAGATTGGAGATAAAATAGAATGAAGGATTTCTTCGGCTTCGTGTTCATCCATACATGTCTCAAATGTCCATTGGACATGTGCATGTCCAATGGACATATCGAATGGCCATTGGGTATTCGAGTGTCAATTGGATCCAATTATGGACTAAACCGGACTTTGTAACCACCGGGAAAGGGCATCGTGGATATACTGAATGAGTATAATGTCCAATGGTCCATTGGATCCAATGGACATTTGAAATGTCCAGTGGACATATGAAATGTCCATTGGACATTTGACGACCAAGGAATGTCCATCAATTGAATATATAGCTACTTCTCAATGCTTCCTTGTATTATCAATATATTATGTTGCTAACGACGCAATATATCAATATATTATGTTGCTTTGTTCCTAAGAAAGCACGCAATATATCAATATAATATGTTGTTGCTTCGTTCTTAAGGAACGACGCAATATATCAATATATTATGTTGCTTTCTTCCTAAGAAAGCACGCAATATATCAATATAAAATGTTGTTGCTTCGTTCTTAAGGAACGACGCAATATATCAATATATTATGTTGCTTTCTTCCTAAGAAAGCACGCAATATGTCAATATAATAGGTTGTTGCTTCGGTTTTTAGGAACGACGCAATATATCAATATATTATGTTGCTTTCTTCCTAAGAAAGCACGCAATATATCAATATAAAATGTTGTTGCTTCGTTCTTAAGGAACGACGCAATATATCAATATATTATGTTGCTTTGTTCCTAAGAAACCACGCCATATATCAATATAATATGTTGTTGCTTCGTTCTTAAGAAACCACGCAATATATCAATATATTATGTTGCTTTGTTCCTAAGAAAGCACGCCATATATCAATATAATATGTTGTTGCTTCGTTCTTAAGAAACCACGCAATATATATCAATATATTATATTCCCTTGCGGTCACCTCATGAATGACTCCAGTACACAGTTTATTAGTTGATGTTTTGCAGGTAGACTCGATCAGTATTAAATCACCAATCAGGTAAAGGCTAGTTTCAACTCAGGAAAATAATCCGTGGATTGGAACGCACAAGAAAATTTTTCTTTGTGTTGTGAGCGCTGGGTTGGAACTAATGACTTCAACACAAAGAGAAATTTTCGTGCCCGTTCCAATCCATGGATAATTTTCCGGACTGGAAATTAGCCTTAAATTAACTCGATAAGTAATGACATTGCATGGCAAACACGCAAAATAAAGCCATTTCAACGATTTCAATTGTTTTTTAGCCCGGGTTGAAATTATTTGCGATTACAATTGTTTTTTAGCCCGGGTTGAAATTATTTCAGCTCAAATCGGGCTGAAAATTCAGCCCAGGACTGGAATTTTGGTCTCTGTTTTAATAGGATTTTTTGGGCTCTGTTTTAATAGGATTTGTTATGAATATGTAATTAATTTATTCTAAAACGCGCGAAAATTATACGGGCAATAACAACACAAAATAATCGCGACAAAAATATCGCTTAAACTAATAATCTACGTTACACTCCCGGGGGTTGATCTCCATCAGGTGATCAAAAGTCCAACAAAATTTGAATGTAATTATGTTAAAATTAAAGAGTCCTTGCTCATATTACTTATAACTGTTCGTACGAATATTAATACTTATCTTAATCTAACTTCTCGTTCAAGTGTTTAACTCGTGTCCGCGCATCGAACCTCTAAAGGTATGAGATGCTGAATAGGTCTCTGTAATATAGTAGTTTTCCCATGTCCTGGGGCAGTAAGAACGGTAATCCTCGCTGCTCGAACTACTCCATCTTTGCCTTCAAGTAACTCGGTAATTTTAGCTAATTTCCAATAACAACGAGCCGTAGAATCGTCCTTTAAAATCACCACTTCGCCGACTGATATATCACTTGAATTTCTTCCGACACTTGAATTCTTTCTTGCACTTTCGCGTAATCCCAAAGATACTCTCTACGCCATTGTCGGGTAAAGTTTTGCAGCAATCTGTAATGGTACTTTATTCTCCGCGTCAAGGTTTGGTATGTACTGGACACATTCGAATACCGTTGATTCGGTGTCGTTGCTATATGCCGTCCGTACACCAGGTCCGCCGGTGTAAGAGGATAAGATAGACCTTCGTCATCTGCGTACACATAGGTCATGGGCCTGTTATTTAAG